GATTCATTCCCAGAGAATTTATCCTGTTCACAAATCTCAGGACTGATGAATGATTCAGGGTCATGGAGTAATATTCTGTACGTAGGCATTCCCAACAGCCACTGAGGTTCACTGCCCACAAAACTGCAAACTTTAAAATGTGAAAGTCACAACATTTTCCTCCACCTAATGGTAGTCCTTTGCCTTGTCTATGAAATTTATATTTCTTAAATTATATTTTTATTAAAAGCCTAATTCAGTCCATATCAAACTAAACCAAATCTTATTTCCTTGATTCCACAGCAGAGGATGAAATATTCTTTTGAATATATTAAAGCCATGTTTTCATAGACTAAGTGTTAGTCTATCCCTATGATTAATGACAGACTTGATTATTCTATTAACTGAAGAAAGGCTTATTGCCTGGCAAGTGTATCCAATTCTCATCCAAACAAGGTCTTGAATCAATGGAAACAGCAATATTTTGAACCAGATAGGTTTCACAGTGACATTAAATATCAAAATTTTCATAGTTTACCATAAGTCTTATCCATAATTATTTGATTGGGAAATTATTTTTTTAAAACTTCATCTTCTTAGACTAGAAGTTTATGGGTGTGTCTACCAGAAAGTTGTAAATGTATATATATATATAAATATAAAAATACTTTGTTCTCAAACCTCTCCTTGCAAGTACTTACAGAGCAAGAGCAAGACAAGTTGCCTTAATGATAGCAGTATCAACTTATTAACAGATTGCGTGTCAGCTTGTGAGTGAAAGCTGTGAAACGCTTCACTGTCAGCAATATTTCGGCCATAACACAATTACCTTTATATAATCAAGTCTGTGTCAGACAAACCAGTGATTGATGTCCTGAGCAACAATACACACCATCTCATTACAGTCACACACATTTAGCTTGTCACAGACTCTTTTCAGTCAGCTACGACAAGCATGAAGTACTGGGGACTGTCCCGGAATCCTAGTCTGTCATACAGACCCTGAAATAAATATATCCAATACAGCCCATGCAAGTCCATAATGTTTGGCAAGTCTAGATTACTGCAGTATCAGAAAAGTCTGAAAATGAAGAAAGTCTTTGGGCTCCTTTTGATTACATTGTATAACTATAAGTTAACAACTGTTTTTTTCTGTAAAATATGTTCATTTCAGAGACTAGATGTTAGTTTCCCTACAGGTGCTATGATTTGTTAATTGCTATTTTGATGCCCATTTAATATTTATCAAGGCCAATTGATGATATCAAAATAGGTCTCTAAATTAAGTCCTTTGACTGTGGCACAATAGAAGTTTAGTCAGTGCAGGCCTAACACAAAATTTTTTTTATCTACGTGTATTTGTCCATGTGATATTTATACATGCACAGCTGTTTAAAGTACACCTGAACATAAAATTTATATCTATATAAAAACATCACACAAAAGACAGTATTACATATATTATGCTCTCAATATATGACAAAGGTTATAAAAAATTGAATGTTTCAAATTTATAGAGCAATTATGGAGCAGTTCTACGGCTTCGCCTTACCATAGTTGAACTGCCTCCACTGTCTCTGCCTATATCATTGTGCACACCTGTGTAGAAACCTCACACCTGCATTTTATTCCCCAATAAACTAAAACAACTCAGGCACGATAGAGGCAGGTATACCCTGTGGCACGAAAGTTCAAAGAACAAGTGTGATATCGTCTAATCCCTATTGTGTAAATGCCATCACATATTGTCATGTTTCTTGCAATGTGTCTCTCCGTAACAGTTCCCTGCTTGAATAACTGCTCATAAAGGAAACACATTTAGAACAGGCAGGATTATTCTTTCCAAAGTGATAAATTGATGATGATTATTATTAAATGGAGATTAGGTTAATTATTCCAGTGGAATATTACATGTTTTTCTCACCACCCAGCTAAGTAAGGTCTAGGATGAAATATAGGTGCCCTTTTACAAATAGGAATCAAAGGCTTCCCAAGGGATACCTCGTTCATGTGACGAGACTACTACAAATAGGCACATAGCTCATGTTTTCTCGGAGCCATTTCTGGTGTCCCCCGCCGTGATATTGCTGGAATATTGCAGTGAAACCATACTCATTCACTCACTCATGTTTTCTCGGGAATGTTCTCTCACCTTCGTTATAGTCAAAACATGTCAAAGAAAGACTCTTCAAACGTTATGAGACACAAAATACAAAACTGATAACTGAACATTGATGATTTTCAGATGAATATGAAGTCAAGAGATGAAATTATTCTGTTTGAATAACATACCAAATGCAAGTGAATGAAAACTGATTTGTAAGCAGTGTTACAGCAATATCCCAGAGTCTAGCCCAGTCTAATCAGTGGTGAAACGCAGCAACCCATGCAATCACATCAGTCCACAGCTACCTGTGGGCCCTCGGGACCGATGGTGACCCATCCCTGCTTACTCAGCATCTACTGGGGCCAATCAATACCCAATTCACCCACTTGACGATCAGGGTCCACTTGCACAAAGCAATCTTAACGCTACAAAGATTGCAACTCCCACAATTTAGCATGGACTTACGATAGTCATAATGCGAAGATCCCTTTGTGCAAGTGGGCCCTGTTATTAATATATTAATTTAAATAAACAAAGTGATGATTCAAAAATCCTTTATTGTGGGATTAAACAGCTATAACATAAGGTACTGTATAGTGTCTTTTGATATCAAATATTTCATCACAAGTTGATTAAGTAAATAAAAGTGACAAAACCCTTTCCATATTCATGAAAAAAAATCTCTCCTTAAAGCAGAGTCGAATGTAGGAGTCCGAACAGCACGTGTTTATGAATCACTATCAAATAGTGATGACACCAGGTGTTTGCAAAAAGGTGAGCGTATCTTTCCATGCCTGTTGGGCACAACTGTGAGGTACTGCAAGGGAGTTTTGATACTCATATTGAAAACTGAGGTTCTCTGCCCCTATCAAATAGTGTGAAGCCATGAACGAAGTAACAATTATCGTATCTCAGACATGCCTTTTGAGACTACGGAGAAAGTCCAAGTAAGAATAAATGACATTGACATTTCCAAGCTGAAGAGAAAGTTTTATACATCTACAAATACATACCTTCAGAGCTGATCCATCAGGTAAAAGACTAAGTAACAGATATATCGTTTCTATGGCAACAAATTATTTCAGACAGGCATGTTAGTCGGCACCTATATCTTTTGAGAACATAACAATGACTTGAAAGAAGTTTATCAGTAATTGCCTAATTATGTGTGTGAAAAGCTTCAAAGTGCTATCACACACATACTTCTAAGTCTTTTTAACAAGCATAATTACCAAGCTGAGAAGCAGAAGGGTGATATCCATCGTTCTACACAGGACCGGTAGGTATATCACCTCATAATCTTACTAATGCTCAATTATGCCTCAAAAATCGCGACTAACTTTCTAAGCGCAAGGTTGAGACAGACATTCGAGATTAAACACAACAAGAAACAAAGACATGAAATGTCTTAAAAGAAGGTGGGCCGTGTTACACTCCTAATAAATCAAGCAGTTGAATTGATAGTTTTGTGTTTATTGTTGTAGGAGAAGCAATAGGGCCTAGGACCTGTCCTTGCTTAACTACCAGCACACATGCAACAGCGCCATATTTTCACTTGGCCAGTCACATGAGCAGTCAGTTAGCGATATGACAATAGACAACATGCTCCATGATCCTATCTTTCATGTTTACGACCAATTTTGTGAATTTGTCACATAAAGACTTAGTTACCACAGGGTTACAACTTGGCCACCAAATGGTGGGTGGTGGATGTATCAGATTAGCTGAATTTTTTACATAGCATTGAGAAATACTTATAATATATGACTTATCATTTCTTTTTTCCTCTCACATTTCAACATTCTTTTTTCACTATTATGGCATGATCTTAAATTTCATGGTATAGGTGAGAAAAATTGAACATTGGACATAGTTGTCTGTTATCTAAGATGCATCCGCATGTTAAGTTTCAATGGTTGATGCAGCAAGACATTTATTCAGTCCAGACAAAGATGTATTGTTATTACATGGGAGACATGCTCAAGACAAGCAAGAATATCAAATAATTGGGAAATTCCTCTGCATCCTAGTCACTTTGATAAAATAATATGCCAAAATGATCAATAAAGAGATACTGAGCTGTCTTTAAAAGGTTGCTATAAGAAACAAAACTAAAGCTCAAATTACGAGTTGAACAATCAAAGTTTCAGTTTTTTTGGTAAAAAAATCTACAAGATAATCTCCATCACAAAATTTAACTTCTGTTCATCACCCCACTACAAACTAGACACATGCCAAATTCCATCAAAATATGTGCATGAAAGGACCAATATGGTTGCCATGGAAACAGATGTACACTTCAGCTGGAACAATTTGAAAACCTTCCACTGACCATTGGTGGATCAAACTTTCAACCACATTGACACCTCTGTTTTTTAAAAAACGCTATGGATGATTCTTCCCAAATAAAGCTCATATGGTCCACTGATCCTCCTTAACTTGCGACAAGAGGGGGGATTGCATCATATGCCAGTCACTACTTCTTATTGAGCATGAAGATAACGCTGCTACTAAACATATTTAATTATTCCCTCACTCTGTTCAATATCACTATCTGGAACCTGGCTATCTGTAAATATCGTAGATCTGGAAAGTTGGTCTTGGACACACCTACATTGCTATTATTAACCTCAAATCTCCAATTATCGCCAATGTTCCTCTCCTGACTTCCAGATAGTGAGTCCACCATATTTTTTATTATCCAGTATACATTCCTCCTAAATCAATGTGATTAAGTATAGTTTACTAGATTCACGTTCAGGAACAGTGTTCTTTACTGATATCATCCTCACAACTGATTACAGCATCAACACTAATGTCACTGTCCTAAGTCAGTCTACAGTTAATTGACAGATAATCCTCATGCTGCCCATACACGGCAAAAGCAAGTATGATGTATGAGAACGCCACCTACCTGGGTGTTGAGTTACTGTTGATGGTGGGCCCCCGGAAGTATCCGGTTTCAATGGGGGTCACCCATGTGGCTCCTCTCAAAGTGCTGCTGATGATTGAGAAGCACAGTTAGTCATCTCCTGGAATAACATGAATATTCCCCACATGATACGACCAGTTATACACTATACTTATCTATTGAAAGAGCTTTAATATGGCAAAATGTTACACTATAGCACTTAATAACATATAGGTAACAAATTGGTTTATATATCAGAAAAAAACAAACTAATGGGATTCATAGCAGAAAACTATTATGCTGATGAGTTTAATGTCAGGAAGGGCTAAGGTACTGTCTTTGTATTTGGGAACGTGAAGTACTCCAGGATCATATATCACAGGGATGATGTATTCATGTGATTAAGCCTTGAACATCGTTTGAATGTGAAGGTACTCTGACTATCATAGTAATGGGTTTATTGGGACAATGCCAGGCTATTGCCGTGCGTCAAGTCGAGTTTACCATATACTTAGCTAGTGATAATGCTAACATCTCTTATAACTATAGTTACTGATCTGTGTTTTCATCTCTGGTGACTGATAACAGCATCATTCAAAATGTAATGATATCGTTTTGTTTATGCATCATCACCATTAAGCCAGCGTAATGGTGTAATGTTTTGCCAAGAACAAACAACTTCAAAGAAACCCACCAGTGTATTGGAAAATTGCTTTGCCACTTAATGAATGGCAATAATAATTTCTTGTAACATTGTAATAATATAATACATACTCATCAGCATGCAAGTGCTTTTAATAGAGATCTGTTCAATATCATCAATAGCAAAAACACTTACAGCATCCCTGTTGCATATCAAGTTCAAGAAAGCTACTTTTTAGAATTGAAGAAAACAAGAAGTCATATGTTCTGGTTTGTTTGAGTGTCAGAATAATCACTGTATAAGCAATCTGCCCATGTGACTTCACATACTTATAAAAAGGAAAAGGAAAGCAGACATTTTGCCTAATGTTTACTATTCAAGAAAAAACACTTCATATCAACAAAATGGTGGTGCACTCACAGCATTGCCTGCCCCAAGGTCTCTGGTTATTCTGTGTACAAGCATATTCCATCCCAAACATCGCCATTCTTCCATTGAACACAGCATCTGAAGTGTACAGAGAATCTGACAAATCAGTTCTTCAACAGTCTCTGAATAAGAAGTGCCCTTTGCAAGAAAATAATACACATAAATACAGTAAACTATGGTCATAACGAACTCAAAAGGACAACTAATTTTAGTTCGTAATAACCGTAGTTCATTGTAAGTGTACATACAGCATATATACAACAAACGGACGGGACTAAAACATAAGTTTGTTATATCGGTCAGTTCATTATAATCATAGTTTACTGTATATGGTCTTTTTGTTAAGTAGACCAAGAGAATAGAATATGTCTCCTAGTTTCCTGTGATTAAAATGTTTTTGAATGACCGAAGTTTCTTTCAAGTGTATAACTTGGTATTGACATTCTTCTGTCTGCTTTGCAATGCTGTTGGGAATTGATACAGGCTATTATTTCATGAACCATGTTCTCCTCACAGCTAAATATTACATCTACATCACAAATATAAAAAACAATAAACTTTAACTTGACACTTTCAGAATAATTATTTAATTCTTGAAATATGTGGAAATGATTACTACCAGTAAGAACAGTGTTGCAGTGTTTGAGCGAAAATGACCACCCCAACTTACACAATTAATTAATAATGTTTTAATGTCTCCTTCGACATCCTGACTTAACATTAAAAATATTCTACAATTTGTACATGTATGAACTATATATATGCTTGCAGAAATGAATAACAAAAATATATGACAAAACGAGAATAAAAAAGTGCCCTTTGCAAGACAGTCGCTATCATTCGGTCTTGACAGCTTTTTCTACCCCGACCATATCAAGAGGTAAGAAAATATTCCCGATGTGTTCTAATCCTCTTACCAGATACCTGATCCTCCCCTGTGTATTCTTGGAGGAGTTTAATGGATGGTCCAAGCCCATTGAAAATAATCCTACGTCCCCTTGAGATAAATACCAAATAAAATGTGGGATCACTTGAGTTGTTGGTCATTAGGCTAAGCCAAGGTAAAAATATGGTTCTTGATTACAATCAGCAAATTGACACTGCATCCAGCTCACCATCAAGAGATCATCCAGCTCGCCATCAAGAGATTATGTCATGCTTCTGTACAGCTTTTTATAGGGTGAATTTCATGAAGCCCATAATCTGGGATGTGGTTACCTTCAATTGTTGTTATGTTGGAAGGTAATGTCACAGGAACTCCAGGATTTAATTGTTCTTGTCTCTACTATAGTGGCAATTTGCACGACATGTTTATATGGCTTTGTTCATTCCTATTTATTAAGGTTACATCTATGACGTCCCTCACATCAACAAACAGTATAGATTTACAGGGAGGGCTTAGCTGTAGGATTTGTTTCCAGAAACATGGATACTTCTATGTCTCGCAAGGATTATACAGCGTAGACAGTTCTACTGGTTACCTGGGACTGTGATTACCGTATCAATCATTCTCACCATCCTGTTTATGAACCATAGTCAGGGTGTTTGTCTGAGTCCTATAACGACAGCAGGCACTGATGTCTTATCATCTGTCAGTTCAACTTAATGTTCAATATATTGTTTTACTGCATTTTTTACTGCAATAAAGTTGTTTTACTGCCCTTCTGACTGCAATATAGTTGTTTTACTGCCCTTCTGGCTGCAGTATCTTGTTTTACTGCCCTTCTGACTGCAATATAGTTGTTTAACTGCCCTTCTGACTGCAATATAGTTGTTTTACTGCCCTTCTGGCTGCAGTATCTTGTTTTACTGCCCTTCTGACTGCAATATAGTTGTTTTACTGCCCTTTTGACTGCAGTATCTTGTTTTACTGCCCTTCTGACTGCAATATAGTCGTTTTACTGCCCTAAAATGACTGCAGTATCTTGTTTTACAGTCCTAACATTTCTGCAGTATCTTGTTTTACTGCCCTTCTGACTGCAATATAGTTGTTTTACTGCCCTAAAATGACTGCAGTATCTTGTTTTACTGTCCTAACATTTCTGCAGTATCTTGTTTTACTGCCCTTCTGACTGCAATATAGTTGTTTTACTGCCCTAAAATGACTGAAGTATCTTGTTTTACTGTCCTAACATTTCTGCAGTATCTTGTTTTACTGCCTTTCTGAATGTAGCGTCTGATGGTTCCACTACCTTGAAATTTACAATAACCTAATGTTTACACACGTAAATACATCAGACTGGATTCCAACATTAGTCTGAATGTATAAAACTCATCATAATAAGCAGAATCATGAGACCACCACATTAGTCCTTGCATGCACATGTGTCACAGGAAGTTTGCTAGGGACATGTCACACTCGAACATTTTTCACGATGTTTTTCTGATAATTATTTCTTGCAGAACATTCCAATGCAATTCCCAGTTTTGACTTGTACTAACTGTTCCTGTGCTTTTTCAGATGAACAATTGACTTGCCTGTGCATGTGTTTGTGATGGGTGCTACTGGTGGGGCAGGATATGCACACCTTTTTATGACACCCATTGTCATCACTATTTAATAGCGACTAATAAACACATGCTCATGTCATAGTTGGAATCGGACAACTGACTAAAAGCAGATATTTCTTATGATTATGGAAAGGATTTTGGCACTTTCTATTCACTCTTAAAATTGTCAAAGATCAGTCTGAAAGCCTTATTTGCACAATTTAGTAAGCATAATGAGTTACATGTGTCACTAGTGGAATATACAGGACTGTACAACCTGAAAGGGCTTGTACACCACAACACCATAGGTCCAGGGTTAACACTATCGGGCAGCTCATGAAATCCCATACACCCTGCTATAGACAAATCTTTCATGAGTTCATTACACGTTACAAAGAATTATTTCCTTTGAATTTCTTGTGTGTGACATTAACACCTAACTTGGGACCGTCATCGCACTCTCAATATGATAAGTGACATTTTTACTTCCATTTATGGGTAGACCGTTTCAGTTTGAATGACTGAGAGGATATTTCAGTAGTTAGCAAACAGGCAGTTGGTTCTGGGTGACAGTGGACCACGGACGTACATACATTCTATATACGTCTTTGAGTGGACTAATAATGGAACACGTCATGCCCCAGGAGGAGTGTCAGATTGTACATGGATACAATCAGGTTCAAAATAGGTTACAGGTTTCACTTTTGTCAACAAAAAACTCTCTGGTATAATCATTATGATTATTAGTGAGTGAGTGAGTGAGTGGGTATGGTTTTATGTCGCTTTTAGCAATATTCCAGCAATATCACGGCGGGGGACACCAGAAATGGGCTTCACACATTGTACCCATGTTGGGAATCGAACCCGGGTCTACAGCGTGATGGTTTCACCCCGATTACGTCTCTAGGTTTGTCAATACATACCCATGCTTGTGGATTTCACCAAAGTGGTAAACATCTGAGATCTGCATCACTTTGAGCTGACACACCATGATATAATTGGAATATAATTGGAAGTTATGAAAACTTTTATTGGCAGTGAACAATGTACAAAAAGGGAAACACGCTTATAGTGTCTTTTTTTAATTGATATCTGTTATCACAAAAAGCATGAAGCGCACTGAGTTTCAAAGGAAGGCTGGATGTGTTGCAGTATTCAGTGTTTGAAATCAAGGGGGGTCCTGGAGGTCTGCTCCTATAGCATCACAGTCGAGGGACCCCCTGAAACTTTAACTTTTAACATAAGGGCAATTACAAGGACCCCTTGACTTTCGTCAGTTTGAACACTGCTGTTGTGTTGATATGGAGCCAAGTTCCCTTGTGTTTTGTCACTGTGAGCTTGGCCCACTCCGCTGGACAAGCAGCACAAGCGGTTCAGTAATGGTCCATAAATTTCTGATCTATTTGCCAGAAGCCCATTTGCGTAAAATCTTTCATAATGATTATACCAGAGAGTGTTTTGTTGACAAAAAGTGAAACCTGTAACCTATTTTGAATCTGATTGTATCCATGTACAATCTGACACTCCTCCTGGGGCATGACGTTGTTCCACATGGATTTACCCTGTTACACAAACATGAAACTGTCCCTTTAAGACCTGCCACCACTCGGTTATAAACACGGTAGTGCAAAGTCCCTTTAAACACCCACCACCAGATTGTTATAAACACAGTAATGCAAAGTCCCTTTAAGACCAACCACCAGTTTGTTATAAACACAGTAATTTAAAGTCTCATTCAGATCCACCACCAGTTAAGACGAAACTATGGCACTGCAAAGTGCCTTTAAGAACCACAACAAGTTGGACATAAACACAATGAAAAGTCTCTTCAAGACACATCACCCGTTAGACAGAAATACATGGCAATGCAAAATCCCTTTAAGACGCACAATCAAACAGACATAAACACGGCAATAAAAAGTCCCTTAAAGACACCACCAGTCAGACATAATCTTGATAACACAAAACCCTTTTAAAAATAAGGTACTCCACAAGACAGACATCTTGTCTAACAAGTCACGAGAGTGCACGGTCATGTGACCTATAATCACATTACATTTATGCCTACACATGAACTTGGTGAAATACATCTCTGCATCCTGCGTAGCTAGCCCCCTTAACTCAATATTACCATGGAATAAAAAGTTGACCTCAAACATGTGAGAGGGGACACCCAGGAAATGTTGCCTGAATATTGTCTTGGTCTGAGAAATATTCAATTAAGCATGATCTCCCTCTTGCTAATCCAGTATGCATTTACTGTTGTGAAATACTTTCATGACGCTGTACCTGGCCAGGACCAGGGTACCTCCAGATCAACTGATCAACAGATCAACACTTGTATTATTTACAAATACCAATCCAAATTCTTTAACTTTGGTTCTCTACAGTTCTACACAACCACACCCTGATTGTGTGGACCACACCCTGACTGTGTGCATCACACCCTGACTGTATGCATCAAACCCTGATTGTATGCATCACACCCTGATTGTGTGCATCACACCCTGATCGTGTGCATCACACCCTGATCGTGTGCATCACACCCTGATTGTATGCATCACACCCTGATTGTGTGCATCACACCCTGATCGTGTGCATCACACCCTGATTGTGTGCATCACACCCTGATCGTGTGCATCACACCCTGATTGTGTGCATCACACCCTGATTGTGTGCATCACACCCTGATTGTATGCATCACACCCTGATTGTATGCATCACACCGATTGTATGCATCACACCCTGATTGTGTTGAGCACACCCTGATTGTATGCATCACACCCTGATTGTATGCATCACACCCTGATTGTGTTGAGCACACCCTGATTGTATGCATCACACCCTGACTGTGTGCATCACACCCTGATTGTATGCATCACACCCTGATTGTATGCATCACACCCTGATTGTATGCATCACACCGATTGTATGCATCACACCCTGATTGTATGCATCACACCCTGACTGTGTGCATCACACCCTGATTATATGCATCACACCCTGATTGTATGCATCACACCCTGATTGTATGCATCACACCCTGATTATATGCATCACACCCTGATTATATGCATCACACCCTGATTATATGCATCACACCCTGAGTGTATGCATCACACCCTGATTGTGTGCATCACACCCTGATTGTATGCATCACACCCTGATTGTATGCATCACACCCTGATTGTATACATCACACCCTGATTGTATGCATCACACCCTGATTGTATGCATCACACCCTGACTGTGTGCATCACACCCTGATTGTATGCATCACACCCTGATTGTGTGCATCACACCCTGATCCTGTGCATCACACCCTGATCGTATGCATCACACCCTGATTGTATGCATCACACCCTGATTGTATGCATCACACCCTGATTGTGTGCATCACACCCTGATTGTGTGCATCACACCCTGATTGTATGCATCACACCCTGATCCTGTGCATCACACCCTGATCGTATGCATCACACCCTGATTGTATGCATCACACCCTGATCGTGTGCATCACACCCTGATTGTGTGCATCACACCCTGATTGTGTGCATCACACCCTGATTGTATGCATCACACCCTGATTGTGTGCATCACACCCTGATTGTGTGCATCACACCCTGATTGTGTGCATCACACCCTGATTGTATGCATCACACCCTGATTGTGTTGAGCACACCCAATTACACACACCTATACTGCTCTCATAATAAGTGTTAAGTGCAATTGTCGTAATGATGATGGTTATTCAGGAGGTAGTACTAATCACAACTACTACCATATTTGTTCATGTGGACTTCATATCAAGTTCTAGTAATAAGTCACATTGAGGTTTTGCCAGGGCATAACAAAATTATTCAGCTAATCTGTAACGAATACACTACGAGGAGAATATGATGCATAACACGAATATATGGTAACTGATACAAATATTTATTCATGAATACAATAACAAGTCAGTAGTTGATGTATTATGTTTTGTATTCAGTGAAACAATAACAAAATAAATTATTTGACATGGTTTGACCATGTTGACAGTGTTAATTATTATTATTTTATTATACATTTAAACGCGCACATATCCAAGTACTAGGATCTGCTCAAAACCGACAATGACCAGTGAGCACATTACTGCCAACAGAAACATAAGAGAGTTGTCTTCTTAAAGAAATCTAAAACATTACAGACGAATTCATGTAAAAAAAAGCACTCTTTAAAATCGCAAATAATGGATTCTAGTGACCACTAATAACTTATTCTTCCAAAAGGGATATGGTTCGATTCACGACTACACAAGTGAATCGTAACAGCCCTACTATCTCGACTTTCAAACTAAGCAGAATCAAGTTGACGCGCGAACGAACATTTTCATTCTATATCACGGTTCATCTTGAAGCAGGATGTATTGAGTAAGTCAGAAATGGCGTCTGCAGCCACAGACGGTCGCGACACATAAAACATGCCATCCTCACAAACCCCTTACCCTAAAATTATAGACAAACTCATTCATAAGATGGAATTTCAAAAGCTTTTTTGGGGAAGATAAACCCCATTTCTCCTTAAAGAGAAATTAATGGTCATAACAACTCGTTCTAAATCATGTCTAGCTTTTGAGACAGAGACGAAGGTGTGCCTCTATCGCATGTTAGGTATTTAACTGGCACTGGGCTCACAAAAGCTTTGCGAATATAACGACACATCCACCGAGATGCTTGCCGCTAAGCTTTTATTTAAACTTGGCCCCATAGTATTAGTTTGCAGCACACGGTCTGTTTGTCGATCCAATTTTGAGATGCAACGGGGTATCTGTACTGTTTGCTTAGCTCAACATACCCCTACTTGAAGCATACAGGTTAGAATGTGACATTACGGTGTATAGGGTATAGAGTGTTGATCTAATAGAGTAGTATAGAGGGCTGTTTTATACAGACCCTTTCAAACTTACAGATGAAATCTAATATAACTTACTCTTAGACTGTGTAATACTCACTTACCAGTTATCACAGCAAAGTCTTTAAATGAGTGTTAGTGATAAAACTAATTCCATATTGATGCAGATTTTAAAAATCTAATTATTATATTTTGCAACTTCATTTGAAATGCAAGACAGGATGTTTAGCTCTAACAAGTACAGCCTAGTGTGAGTAAATAAAGGTTGGGTTTCTGAAAGACACAAATGAAAATATGAAATCTTAAATGTTTCTTATGACCTAGTTCTGTAAAGATTTAATGTTTACATGTTTGCTCTGAAATATAATATGCAAAGATCAAGACAATCTTGCATCTAAAAGTGTGTTTTTTGAAAGCAATGTGCATGTATTAAGTGATAGCCAACTCATATAACCACAATGCATAGCTATAACGTTTACAAACGTATCAGAGACCATGGGCTCTGTAGCTCACCTGCATCATGAGTGATTTGTCTGTTGTTTAACGCTGCACTTAGCACTATTCCAGCTATATGACAGCAGCCTGTAAATAATTGATTCTGGGCAAGACAATCCAGTGATTGACGTCATGAGCATTGAACCACGCAATTGGGATAAGATGACATGTCAGCCAAGCCAGTGAGCCTGACCACCCGATCCTGTTAGTCACCTCTTATGACAAGCATAGTCACCTTTTACGGCAAGCATGAGTTGCAGAAGACCTATTCTAACCCGCATCTTCACGGATGAGTGATTTGTAAATATACTACTCAAAAGAAGTTAGGGAAAACCCGAATCTTTCATATCACTATAGTTAATCTTACCATGATAGATGAACTATAGTAAGATGAAAGAATCAGGTGGTCCTTAACTTCTTTTGAGTAGTATATCAAGGAAACAAGATCGAACTGGGAAAAACACACACACTGTCATTGCCCTTCATATCCTCTAACCTGCATACATAAGCTCACCTGCTCAATTTGTACATCACTTGTTTGATGATGACCCCAATTGCAGTCAATATCTCAGTTTTATGCAGGGCATTCATTTCACTATTGAGATCTTGACTGAAGATAAGTCACAGAATGTGTAGCACAGTCCCTCTTGGTCTCTCATACTGACCGGAAAACAAACATATCCTAAACAGCCCGAGAAAGTCTACAATATTTTGGAAAGTCAAGATTTCTTTTTTCTAAAAATGAAGGGGATTCTCGGGGTCATTTCTACTATATATAAAAAGACAATCAAACAAACAAAATATTTCATTTCAGAGACTAAATATCAGTTCCACTTTAAAACCATCCTGCAGGAGAAAATGGCACCCCATGCAAAAAATGGAGAAAATGGATTCAGATTTTGGAGAAACAAAACTAACAAAAACTGAAACCCTCCCGCACCATCAGCATCTGTGTCACGTCCATGTTTACAAAATTGGGGTCATTTTCACTAAAATTTTGGGACATTTTCTCCAAGCTGTCTGAGGCCATTTTTGCAATGGGTCATTTTCTCTCTAACCCAACACATGCTTGTCTCTATAACCCCATCCATACTAGTCACATTTCACACCATCTGTATGTCCTACACCCGGACAAACCCATTCACAGTGAACCTCACGGCCTGCTGTATATTGGAAGTACTTTATGGTCACTTAGACGTTGATGGAACCGAATGATATGAAACGATTCTGATGTATAAATGTCCGTTCTTCTGGTGAAGGGCAAATTGTTCCTAGAAAAGTTAAATCAAATAACCCCAAAACCTGCACTTCTTCCGTTTTGTAAAGTTTAATAGTGTTTCTCTTGAATTCCTTTGTTGAATGTCATGATGTTTCAATAATTCATTCATCAAGTAGGCCCCTACAATACTACCATTGGACCTCAGGAACTATTCTGCTTCGGAAGTTGGAACAGCATTGTCAGACGTACATCTTATCAAATACGCAAATGAAAAGCTTAAATCTCAACAATGGCTTGCTAACAATGGCTTGTACTCAATATTTGAAGACATCTTGTCCCTTGACGTCTTCGGCGTGTTGTCGTCTGTCAAATTGGCGTGGTCGTGATCACGCACGGACCGTGTCTAGTCATGTGACCCTAAAGTAACCAATCAAATATTCGGTACCACTTGATTTTGGTATCGTTATATCAAATGGCGTAAGGAAGGTAGGAATAATAGCGTGTGGAGGCTTCATGGACGTTTATTTTAAGTTCTTACATTATTGAATAATCGCAAAAGAATTTGAACGTTATTGTTATCTATTTAGCAAAACATATCAAACAAGAGCGTAGACATTCCTTGTTAGTTTTTTCTCCATGTACTCTTGTGGGGAAGGAATAGACGATGGAAAGATTTTCTGAAATATTTAGATCGGAGAGCTATTCTACTTGATGTCATATCAGTTGTTCCTCAATAACACATTAAAACTTCCAGTAGCGTTCTTTGAGAGAAGAAAAAATAACAATCATTCTAAACCCCCAGAACTACAGGTTCAGACACACAGACGCTCATATCGTTGCTGTAAGGCTTGCCGGCACCGATGTATTAAACCTATGTATAACCATACACACTATAATTCACTAAGCCTGTCAAATACGGTCTGCAAACTGGGAACAAGGACACAGGTCAAAAGGGCCACAGATATCCTAGTCGAAAGGTCACACCAAAAAGTCAAGAGGGCCACTCTGAAAAGTGAAAAAAAAGTGAATTTAGACCTACGTGCTGGAAAAGTAGGTAGACCCCAGCTGAAGAATTCAGATAGTGCTAGTTCTAAAAAAGATATGCTTTGGGATGCTGGTGCATGCCTACTGTTAAAGATATTTGTCATGAAATGAATAAGGATATAAAACATACAAAATGTATACTTTTATATGTACAATGTCACCAATTTTGGTTTGTGGCCCTTTTGACTAGGAGTTTCTGTCCCTCTTGACATTATTGTGGCCATTTTGACAATGGGTTTGTGGCTGTTTTGCTCTGCAAGTTTGATCCATGTATCAGAAACAAGAAAAGTAGAACATATATTCCTGAATAACGAGGGTACATGATAATCAACAATAATGCCCTTTCACTTTACCCACAAGGTTGGTATACTAGTATGTTCTTCTACACCACCACAGCGAGTGAGCCCCTTGCTGATACGGTACTGTGCATCAGGGAGGAGATTTGGAGCAACAAGTTGCATGAAAGATGCCAAGGCCCAGATGCAGGAATTGCTGTCACAGTAACCATTGCCATGTGATTTTATCAAATGTGTAATGTTTTGTGCACCATGACCACGTTCTTATCAGAAAAGTTTGTTTAAGCCGTATTTATTTAACGTGTATTTCTCAGAAGAGGCATATGTAACATATCCCTTATTTGCTTTCTTGTTTGCAGTTTAACCTGTTTCCAACAACCATTAATTTCAGCAATGTGAAGGTGGCAACTTCATTTTCACAAGATTGATAGTTCTTCAAAAGTATATATATAATGAGTGTGTGAGTTGAAGAGTTTACGTTATATGATGGCCTGTTTAATGAGCTTTGTGTTTTGAATATGGGAATAAATTCCAAAGTGATGCATGTTCAGACAGATATCACTTCAGTAAAATCCATGCCCATGGAGTACGTGGATGAAGCCACAAGGTTTGACCAGTGCTCAGGGCAGACCTGGTTCTTGGTTTTCATTGCCACACAGCAACATTCCAGCCATATGACACTGGCCTGTAAACAATCAAGTCTGGACCAGACAAACCAGTGACATAAGCAGCGACCCACAGTCAGGGTACCAGGACACATCATCAACCAAGTCACCGAGCCTGACCATCCGATCCATTAAGAGGCCTGGTACGACCCTAGGGCCCACTTGCACAAAGCTATCTTAGCGCTTAGACTGTTATAAGCCTATGTTAAAGTTTGGGAGTTACGATCATCTTAGTGCTAAGATAGCTTTGTGAAAGTGGGTCCTGATAAGCTTACCTGGGTCCAAATCTAATCCCTGAGACTAGTGAGAATGCCTGTTTGCATGTATGTTCCACTTCTAGTATGGTTCTTACCACCAAGTTTTGTGCTCTGCAATAGTTAATTACATGAGTTCCTTGTGCAATGCTATGTAATCTGGGCTGTAACAATATGCTTTGTCTCAGTATTATAATAGTGGTCAAAGGAAAGAAATAGTGAGACCCAACCAAACTGAATTTAGTTAAAGTCAACAGTTAAGAATTCGATCTGATTTCTGTGAGCATTATTTAGTCTCCATTTCTGGAATCATCCATGCAAAGTTTCAGCTTCATTGCTGTTTTAGATTTGTTGAAAGTGTATGTTTAAACAATGCAACATGCAAACATTTTACTTATTTTCAAATACTTTGACACCTTGATGTAATTGAAATGCTCTTGAAAACCTCGACTCAGGTCACTCAGGAGTTTTAATGCCACACTGAGCAATATTTTAGCTATGTGGTAGTTGCCTTCAAATAATGGAGTCTGGACCAGACTATCCAGTGATGAACAAGTATCCACACCGCTGGACTAGGGGCACATTTTGGATGCACTGGTATGATCATAATGTGAGTATCGTTGTAGCAAAGACACTGGTTTAGCCAGATCACAGCTAGGCGTGGTGGAGTCCCTCTGGGGTCTTCCATTCAAGAACCTTCATACACTTCAGCCATTGTTGTCATCCAATCCTCATTTAGTCCCCCACACAACAAGCATGAAGGACGTGTCAGGTTGTCCACGTACTGTTTCTTCATGTTCATTGCACATCCAATTGCAACCAAAATTAAAAAACACAAGAAAGAATGATCAAGAAACAAATTTATTGCACATTCTAGCTCTTGGCTTCAATACTGAGTGAGACAAGATCAATATGGAAGTAATAAGGAAATCTACAGGAGATAAAGTTGTTTTTCAGCATGTCACATACCATCTCACATACAAGATCAATACAGGTGAGTTTGAACATGCTCAGTCTCAAGCAATGGCCATCTGCACGTAGTGCACACTTTCACTTGTACTCTGTTACAAGTTGTTTGGGGAGGGGGTTGGTATGTATCACTAATGTATGTTTTCATTGGGAGGGTTGGTTACTAGGGTCCTAAACTTATTTTTTTTGCTGACAAATCACAACACATTTTGAAGCAATACAATCTATTGCAGGTTATTTTAGTTGCTATTCACCCCAAGAACTTATCATGTCCCTGTCTGTGATGCTAAGGTAATCCCTGAATCTTTTGCCATCATCTATTCCTAAAAGTGTTCCAATGTTGCTTGGAACAGTATTTCAGTGATATCCGAAGATGCCAGTGTGATGTGCGAGGAAAACAGGTCTGAGACGTTTATCACTTTGGAAAACCCACAAACACCGGTATGGTGTTGACAAACTTAGAAACATAAGGGTCAATCTGGGAATTGAACCCAAAATCATTCATTTCTGGTACGCGAAAGTGACACGACTCTGCATGGCGAATTGCAGAGCTTAGACAAATGGACCATCCATGCGACCTGTTGTCATTACACAACAGTATACATGTTCAACATAACTGATCAGTCTTTACTGTGGACAAGAACTACATGGAGATGTTTTGCTTAACACTGAGGTATGTGTGTAGGGAGTAATTGCTGTATCGAGATTAATGCTTTATCAAATTGGCAAGGTCTACCTGTATATTACCTCAAAACATGCTTTACCTCTTTCATAATCAACCTGTTTAAAGAAAAAATGCGATAGTTTCTTATATCATCTATCAAACTGAACAATTTTACTTTGTGCTCTTTTGTAATTCAAAGAGTAAATGAAAACTTGGTCCCATTTGGTTAGGAAGAAGGAAGGCATGTATGACTGTGAAATAAATTACATGTAAAGAAAATGTAGCCAAAAATCAAAAGATTGGAAACAAATTATTGTCAATTACATTACAAGAGACGCTGCCTCTGCATATTCCCTCACAAATAATAATCAAGCAACTTCAACTGATTTCATAAATTAGAGTCTCAAAATGAAGAATTGTTCATTATTTACCCAACCATGAACTGAGGTTCAGCTGTCTCTGGTTGTCATGGCATGCCTAAGGTAGATGGGTCTTTACACTGAGTGTACCTGCAGGAGTATTCCAGCATCAAGGTTAACAGGACGGTGCTACATGGAAACATTACTGAAGCATGAAGGGCTGTCACAAATGACACATAAACTTGTTTTCTTTCACAAGAACTATTCCTTTTTGTTATTTTTTTACTAATTCCTCCAAATGTTCACCGTAAGTCACAATATTGATGGAGTAAGTTAGCGACTAACCAATAGTGTGGGCTGGGATTTGTTTTTGAAAAAATAATTTGGTTTAGAAATCAAACGGGAAAAAATAATTAGTCCTCATGTTTTACAGACACAAATTAATTCTTCTCTAGACAGGCTTGATGGCCTGGAATAAATTGTGAAAAAAGAAAAATTGTTTGGTGCCTCTCAGACTATTTGTTTATTTTGTTACAAAATTCCCAGCCCATAACTCCTTATGTTTAACCTTGATGCTTAAGTATTGTAGACATGTTTGTATAACATTGAATGTTTGAAGCTAGGTGCTCTGGATATTTATAATGATCTTGAACATAACACATCAACACATAAAACCAAGGACAACAGTCTTCTAAATGTAACACATGTAATGAAAACATACATGAAGTTCCCATACAAAACACTGGGAAGTCAAACAGGAACCAATGACAAGGTGTTTGCTACTTTAGTGTCATTAACAGCGTACAAAGCCTTGTCATCGAAAATTATTACTTGAGCTTGAATTATACGAGGTGATTTTTTGTGTGTGAATGTTTGTATTGAGTTAAAAATATAACACAATCTGATTCATAATCCAAGAATCTTCAATGGTTGTGTCTGACTCTCAGTTCTGCCGAAAGAGTTGCAATTTATGAAATTTAAAATGTTCTTTGTCTCTATGAAGAAGTAATCATACATGTTGCCATCTTCTTAGTGCCTGAATCATGTTAATGCAAACACCTACACTGTGACTTGTACACTCACCAATGACAGATTAACTGATCTTTACATATGTGGTGCTAATACAAACAACAGAACAATATCTAGTGATTGGTCCCACTGTCTTTGACAAATAAGGGTATGGAATATATAGGATTTCTGTTATACATGTCAGTAACCATAGCAACCATATTGTAATCTGTACAGATGGTGTAAGAATTGATTTAGATCATCAGTCAGAGATTGGTGAGTTTCCAAGACTTCACCATTTTCTGTCACCAATGATGGAATTCATCTCAGAACCAAGTAAAGAACAATGAATTATACAAAACGGACATTCACAAATAGGTGACCCATAAAATCAACTGCGAACTGCAAGGATTAAATGAACATTATGCAACACCTGAAAGGATCCAGTCTAAATGTGAGGCACTATACAAAATATATCACAAGCAACAGTGGAAACCATGTTCATGATCCCGGACATGCAATGATCAGCTTTTCTAAAATACAATAGGAAAACTGTGCAAAGAAATTATGGAATAATAACTTGAAAGGTTGTGAATTGCTATAAAAACATCAGTGTGGAAAATATAAAATTTCATTTGATAAAATTCTGAATATTGGCCCAATGATGAAGGCATACATTGTCAAAGGTAAGTAACTCTGTACACAACCAAAACATCAAAGCAGTTGAAGTGCCATAAAATACTTCACCATAATTTTCAATAATCCAGCAAATGTGATGCCAAAGTATGGAAGACGGAAACTTCAACAGCAACATAAATATCCTAAAATATATATCTTTATTTAATTTTGAATTTGTTTTCCCATTGAACAAATAGAAGCCTTGTGTGAAAATGTACGATATCTGGAATGTGGAATACATTTTATAACATGACAAACATGAAATAACAAAACACAAATCCACCCCATCTGCAGCAGGTTCAGAGGCATGTTTTCATCAGCACCATTCAATCTTCCAACTTTCCACCATGAGCTAATCCCTGTACATTCAGCTACGATACACATCAACCTGAATAATCATCTATCTCAATACAAAATAGAATTTCAGTGAACATGCCAAGGGGAATGTACATTTCGAGAAAACTCAGAAGTGAGAATAAACTATTGACTCATTAGACACAGGAAACCTAGCCAAATACAGCTTAAAGCTTGTCACTTCTCAATAATGAGTGATCAATGTCCACTTGGGGGGGGGGGGGGGGGAGAGAGAGGGGAGAGAGAGAGAGAAAGATGTCAATTTGGAAACTGTTAAAATAGTAGTACGTTTCAGAGTGAAGATTGAAATAAATGATGTTCACGGAGGGTTGCAGGGAAGTGTATCCCCTGTTTCAATAACACTTATGATGTTGATGTATTCAAAACTAAATAATTTAATTAACATAAGTAATGTTTCAACAAAAATTACTATTAGTCAACTAATTATTTCCCCCAATTAATGTGCTAGTACTTTTGCATATTACTATTTTAAGTGCACTCGTACACCCCACTTTCCACAAAGCTGTGCACTCCCTCGTTCCATCAGATGTATCCACTGGACTATTGCTTGAAGATATTTGTGTATGGAGAACTAAAGTCAATTCGGCAGACCTAATGTAACTGACAAGTCCCCGTTAAAGTTAACAGTGCCTTGAATTCAATCTTATCCAACCCCTGCTTATCTCTGCAAACACCATAGCAACAGCACATCTCACAAATTCACTGATGTCTATTATGCTTTGAAGATGCCTTGAAATGATCTTGAGACATTCCATGATATTTTAAAGAAGTCTTTGTTTTTGTAGTTCCATCTGGAACAGTTACTTCCTGTTTCTACACACACACCCTGCACATGCTGGAAGGAATATGGAAGTACCCATGCATTCCATAACATACTCAAGATGGCTAATCATAAACAACTCCTTGATTCAGTATGAGTGAAGATAATTTACATGTAATTTTGTTTTCAGGATCCTCCACACCAAGAAATAATAAGCAATATCCACATGCACCAAGAGAAAGTAAGTAGAAGAATGTCATGGTTGGGCAACAATGGTGCTTGTATATAGTGACCGTGTCCGACAAAGGGTTCATGTCAGTCATATTTTGAGTGTTCTTTTCTTATACGTGGATTCAAGTTAACAAATTTTATAAAGGGCACAAGTCTTAATGAAGTACTTTCATGTCATATCACAGCAGTTTGGCTAGGTGACTCACTTACACTCACTCCATGTCGGCCATTCAGCTTGGTGCTACTGCCACGTCACCATAACTCTAAACAAAGCTGTATACAATCAGAAGCAGATTCAGTTCATTTGTAAAAATAAGATGGCGAAAAAGTAACACTTAAACCTTCATATAACAAAAACTACAAAAACAATCTTCAGATTGTCATTTAAGCCATGAGCACAATGTGTCTTGACTAGAACTTCATATGTATAAAATGATCAAATTATAGTCCTCTTCTTTCTGATCTGTTTGGAGGGTTTGGAGAGCTAAGTAGAATACATTCATGAAAGGTCACAATTCAGAAACATATGTCCCCGTCATTTACAGCTACTTATTAATCTGAACAAGAGACCTGAAACCCGTGATCCAAGACGACATGGGATGCCTCAACATAGGTTTGTTTTCAATCTAAATGCACAAGAGTTGTCCCCCTTGTGTCAAATTTCTTTCAGAGTATAACTGCAAACCTGTATCCTCCACTACAAAAAAACAACCAAAAAACAGAATTCCTGGAAGCACAACTAAACAAAAGCTATGTATAGAGACACTACAAAATAACACAAAATCCCTGAAAGTATTGCCACAAGAGATAGTTAACAAACAAAATAAAGACAATAAGGATTAACAGACAACTGTGCCTCCTGATTTCAGATCAATGAATATGTATATGAGTTCTTTCCAACATAAAAATATGTTATTTCTTTTCTGTATAGAGATAATTCTGTTATTATTATGTTATAAAATGCCTTGAATTTTTCCAGAATCCAATATTGATGATATTATCATACAGACATTAATATGTTGCTAAAATATATAACAATACTAAGCATCATTACACCATTGATGCTCAGATATGTTAAGCACAAACATGTCGCTACTATCATACCGATACATAACCTATCAATATATCATATCAAATAGCGTTATTATGGACAGTATGTAATACTCATGGTAAATAACTTACAGTTTCCATATCAAACAGCCTGAAGCTCAATAAATGAAATAAGAACATAAATATACAAACACAGTATGAAGTGATCATATTCAAATCAAACTGAATAAACAGCACTATTGTCACATATCAAGCGAAAAATAAAACAAACAGCAAACCAAAGAACTACAAACTGATATACATTCCCATCTGAACATGCTGAATTACCCTTAAGGTGATCAGCAATATTGTTGACTGGAGGATAATATGACTTATCCTTGTTTCAAACAGGGAAACAAATATGTTTATAAGATAACACAGATTGATAAATACTGGCAGAAATATGGATGATTTCACATCATCAACATCATCATCATCATCATTTTGTGAAATAAAAATTAAAAACAATTTTAATAAAATTAGAATGATTAATTGTTTAAAGCCTGCTTAGATTGGCTCCCTTACCATGATTACAGAAGAAAATGTCATGTAATCCTCAGTACATTACTGAAAGAATGAGAAAACACATAAGAAAACACATAAAAAAACTTGCTTTGGTATGGATAACTGACATTGGACACAGCAAGAAACAGACTGCTTACACCATCCAACTGAGGCAGTTGGTGCCACACCTCCCTGGAAGTGTGAACTGCCTCATAGTGCTGTCGCAATCATCCTTATGCTTTAACTATAATAGATAAGGGCCAAACTATACCTTATTACACTTCACATGGGGGTAGAGCAAACCTTATTTCTTCAACAAAATCTGATATTTGTAATGTAAAACCAAAGAAATCAGATTTCTGTGTATTAAACATGTTCTAAGGGCAGAATGACTGATTGTTAATTCATAACATGTTAATCAGTAATCTTATTGTAAGTATGTTTTGAGTGTTAAAATCGTAAAACTACAACACAACATGCCTAAACCAGCCTTCAGCTTCGGACTCCCTGACCCAGCCATGCCTATAGGAACGGGAGCGAGTCAGGTTAAGCCATATTTCAGCAATATCACGATTGACACAGATATCGGCTTCACACTTTGTACCCATGTACAGCATCAAACCCTAGCCTTCCATGAGCGAACGCTTTAACCACTTGGCTACCCCATACTCTACCTACACAAGCCTAATGTAATGATGCAGGAATGTAGAAGCCTATACAAAGAAACCCAGTGGCTTGCTAACAGATCCATCTTTGCACAGAGGGAATGTTGTACATCAAAGAAATAGGGAGAAGGAATCAATACATTCACACCAATCATGGAGAGGCGGTTAGGGATTGGCAAATTCAATTCTAATGTCTGGTAAATTGTCAAGGTTTTGACAAATACACACTACTAATTGTTCAGGTCAAAGTGGAGATTTAGAAAATACTCTAAACAATGATAGAGACATATTTACTGCTACATATTTTCAGATCTTACATATGCCATTATAAGTAAGAATACAGGACACACTTTACTGATAATGATCAATCCTGGTCCAACTTGTGCACAGAAACCCAGGGCACCCAACCTACTGAGATGATTGAGCCACCCTTTATACCACATTCAAATGCATCAACTACAGATATTTCTTTTCTAAACATTGGAAGATATACAATACAGTACACTGTACAGGATAAGTTTTGAACAGGAAATTTTACTATTAACATAACAGTATTGGAAGAGTTATATCCTCTTGAACAATTTGTTGACCTTGACCTTAGCTTGACACTGGAGACAAAGTCAATTGATAGAGATTTTCTCATGGTCTAATGGCCATTTTGACACAATTGCACAGACACTAAAAGTTGACCACTGCATCGTTGTATTCAATAATCAATATCAAGGTCAGAACACTAGGCCAAGGTCAAGGTCAAGTCTCTAACCTGTACAGATATGAAGAATACACGACTATGTACACATATGTAACTAGTTCATGATTGTTGCTGTTAAAGGAATGCGCTGGGATTGGCTCTGGGGTCCTTCTGATTGCGGTATCTCATTGCAAGCCACACACCAATAATCTGAAACAAAGAACAGATGGGAATCAACAACGTGACAGAGAAGTCTCCACATCAAGGAAATATAATAATCTCCTAATAATAGGAATAGGAATAACAGGCATAATTACACAGTTACTATTTAAGTTCCTACTACCAACATTTAGATAAATAACAGTACAAACTGAGGCTAAGTAAAGTGATTGTTGTTTTACGCTGCAGTGAGACTGCCTGTAAATAATCAACTCTGGACGGGGCATATCGCAGGTTGAAAGCATGAACAGTGATCCAACCTGCCGGGGTACAATGACATGCAATCAGCCAGGGCTGACATGGTAACCACACAGCCTTTATTAGTTGGCTCTGACAACAAGCATGGGTATTGGCACCTATTCTGCCTGGAATGCGCTCACATTCACTAATGAGTTCTTACACTATCCCATATTTCCATTTTTTATTACAAAGAATACATCCTTTGAAAAACAATAAAATTCCTTACTTTAAGAGTAAGGCAGTTAATTTGCGAAAGCCGAAAAATGAGACATTATCCAATGCTTTTCAACCCAGTTCACTATCAGTTTGTGTCAGCTGTGTCAACTGCATAAGGTCACAGAATTGTATGGATTAATTAATCATAAAACTATGTCAGCTGATGACAAGCACCTGGTCCCAAACACTATCAAGTACCATTTTGTATATCTGCACAATATTACATATCCAGCTTACACTGTCATCAAATGACAAGGTCAAATGAACGGATGGTAGAGGCTATTTTTCAAATTGTATGGTTTGTTGTTTAACACCGCAGTCAGCAAAATTACGCACTTGGGATATGACACGCATCAACTAAGTCAGCAAGCCTGACCACCCAATCCAGTTTGTTGCCTATAACGACAAGCATGGATTGCTGAAGACCTATTCTACCCCAGATCTTCACAGGTCAAATTCAAATTGTAGCATTAGTAGCAAAGAAGACATTTTTGTGAACAAGTTAATTATGTCTCAGTCTGTGAATTTAGCAGACCCTCCTATCTATTTGAATAAACAGGTGTATTGGAAGAAAAGTTTCCGTATTGGAACCGAATGCATTTATTATGCAAACAAAAAGAAACACTATCGGATTTGACAGCAGTCGTAAGCGGAATATACGTATGGGAAACTTGGTTAAATGGAGCAGAATAACTTCGGCCGAATCTGTCACAAGTCAACTGTTATTTCCGGAAAACATGCGTGTGAGAAATGGTGGCGATAAAGAAATAACAAGCAAAGTCATTATTTTGGTTAGTCTGACTTTTGGTTAGTCTTGATTATAAACCATTAAATCCATAGCATTGAGCAACAAGTATGCATCAGAATTTGTTTTCTAAAGTGGGAGACGTGTTTTCTTGTATCAGTTATTGCAAATTAATGGGTAGTAGTCAGGTGTATAACACACTGAAGTTTTTTGACATCTCGCACATCCATCCACCCACCAGATCCCAGCAATCTTGGCAACTGTATGGTAGCCAACACACACACACACACATCATGATCTGGTAATGGTATATGTTAACAAAAATCAAATAAATTAATTAAGTGCCAATCAGCCACAGATGAATTCCTTACTGTTGACATTGACTGACTTATTGACTGAACTATTTACTAGCCCTGTTATTGTCAACAATTATAGGCAATTACTAGATCTAACTCTAAGAAGTAAACGCTGAATGAAATTATGGGTAATGTAATTTATCTAGTGCTATGACTGATAAGCTTTCCAATCGACTCCCATCAAAATAATGCATACAAATACATGTTTGCTTAAAATGAATAATCTGTAACAAAGGGGAATTATAATTTTCACGAGCTGTGGTGACAATAAGTGTTGTTGTAGTTTGGCGAAATGTGAAATTTAACAGATATGACCTAATGTGTTTGGTTGCCGATGCTGAAGATCCCAAAAGCATCTGTGCAGTGAGAGATCTGATGTTATAACGATAGTTACAGCATGTCACATTTGAAACTATTCCTTCGCACCTGGTAGCTATACACATGATATTGCTTACATTAATTCTGATAATGCTTCTTTTCATTCAAATAGATAGGTGGGCCTGTTTAGCCACTAGTACGAAGCCTAAGTCTTGAAGAATTTCTTTCTGTCTTTTAGACATGCCTAATAATAGTCACATATTAACCCTGAGATCTACTGAAAATGAGTCCTGAAGGCAAGTTTGGGCACGTACAAGTAGATTAAAAAGTTTGGGGCTTACCACAAATCAATCTTTGAGACACAATATAGATATACATCCATATTCGCTGTATAAATATGAGCTCTTGGTGCTTAGAAAATTGATGAGAGGGGGAACGGTTATTAAAACCATACACAAGTTAAATTTGTTGTCAGAGATCGAGCAGTAGAAAACCAACTTAGATCTAACTTCAAGGAATCACAAACATTTTCAAAATGGTTACAAGGCAGTTAAATAACCTTTCTTCACTGCTGTTTACTGTAATCACATCCTTGATAATAGACCCGTGAAGATCCGGGGTAGAATAGGTCTTCAGCAACCAATACTTGGCATAAGAGCTGACAATGTTTGTCGTAAGAGGCGACTAGCAGGATTGGGTGGTCAGGCTCGCTGACTTGGTTGATGCATGTCATCGATCCCAATTGCATGGATTGATGCTCATGATGTTAATCACTGGATTGTCTGGTCCAGACTCAATTATTTACAGACCACTGTCATATAGCTTGAATATTGCTGAGTGTGGCGTTAAACAAGATCCTTAACATACACAAGAAAATATGGAACGTCATGTCAATTTCCGGGCTTGGCACCGGACGTTTATAGAAATTAATAACAGATTGGTCTAGAAGTTGGTTGGGATGCTTATTAGAGCGAAGTGTGTAATATGAATACGGTACCGGTATGTATGGATAGTTGTCCTGATGACCACGTTTCTCCAGTACTATTTTCCATATACAAAATTCTGTTCACGTTCCATGAAAACAGGTTTTAACTCAAGAGCAGACAGCAAAACACAATGATACAGTCAGTAGGCACTAATATTACAGCTATATTTGATGTCCAGCACATGTGACAGGAAACTGGACGATTATGTGAGCATCGTTACACATCGTCATGGTGATGTCACAGCCAAGTCTTCCATCACACATGAGCTTTCCATACTCTGCATGGTGCCCATGAAAGAAGCCTTTGACAAAAAGCATGGGTGGGGACTACGTGGTCAAGATTCCCCTGGGACTTGTCCCTACACCAGCTGAAACCCCACACCACATGTAACAGGACACTGACAGCACACACTGCAGATATGTAACAAAAACCAGGCCCCAAGGGTAGAGGAACTCAAACACAGATGAAACTGAGTCATCAGATGATCCCTATCTCCGTGCTAACTTGGAGTGAGTGAGTGAGTATGGTTTTACGCCGCTTTTAGCAATATTCCAGCAATATCATGGCGGGGGACACCAGAAATGGGCTTCACACATTGTACCCATGTTGGGAATCGAACCCGGGTCTTCGGCTTGACGAGGGAACGCTTTTACCACTAGGCTACCCGACTGCCCCTTACTAGCTTGGAGGAGACATGGAATGATGTTAAGACAAGTTCTGGAAACAGCCCCATAATGATGTTTTGAAATGACTATCAGTAAAAGCTCACCATTATGATACTTATTCTCGACACATTCAATACATTCCTTAGTTCCGATTAAGAAATGAACTCTGCTGTCTGCTGAGTCCAAGACTTACTTGATTCAAAGAACATGAATATGACAAAAACAAGGAAAATGTAACAAAATCCAAGTAAGCATAAGCATGTGCTACTGGGTATATAGGTGGCAAAGTTTAATAAACATATTTCAGTGTTGGGATGAAAAGAAGAACTACAACAGATGGATGGACAGACAGATATACTATTTCCATCACAGTGAATGATGCCTCGTCAATACTTGACGGGAAAGTAAACTGTACATCCTTCCACCCACTGTGAATACACTGGGCAGATATGCGGCATAGTTGCTACATTTATCCGATGGATCACGGTTCCTATGAGCCCTTCCTGTGCATCTCACAACATTTCCCACTTGACATGATGTGCAGCATGTGCTAGGGCTGGGATGAGTCCAAATTTACTACCCGGGTACCCACCCACCGGGTATCCAATGTCCAATTGGGAACATTTTTAGCATAGCCCTAGCAAAACGTATTCAGATACACATATTAAACAATCTGGTCATTCATACACTGAAGTTGAATTAAGTTATATCTTTATTCAACCATATGAAAAATCAGAAGGAATGGGTGCACAGTCAGAAAGAAATGCGAACATTAGTGACTTGTAGTGTAACCATAGAGTACTAGATATATCACGTGACTAACCATGGTCCGGGTAGTCCTGTGGGTTCCTGGGTGCTGCTGAATACCCACCTGACCCGTCCCAGCCCTAGCATGTGTCTCGCCTTAGGGTATCTGCTCTACACATTGTGTCAATGTCAGGCAATGGTAGGTTTCGCACAAACTTCATGACACTAGCGTGAGTGAGACACAGCCTCATTTCATTAGCTGACTAAAAGTAAACATAAATCATCACCACACCGCATATCGGTCCTATGTATTCACGGGAAGAACGTACTGTACACAAACCCGTGATGTATTGATGATCTGTACGATGAAGAGAAAAACAAAGCCGGAAAAAACAAACAAACTGAAAATCTCATCATGGTCATACATTATAAATATCTTTCACGGCATGCATATATTTACAGATTACTTGATTATACCATGGCCAGAAGAAAAGAACAGAACAGGACAGGTTTGAATGAATAAAGGTAGTTAGCTTTAAAAACAGTGCAAAGGTTAAATATTCAAAGCAAAATAACAAATATCAAAATGAAGACCGACAGGATATAGAATACTTGAGCAGCTAATGAAGGTGCACTGGAGGCATGTAACTACTGGTACTCATAGTCTGAGTAAATATAACTTACATTGTGGAAGTCAATAATGTTACTCAGACTTGGAGGAGGCAAACACATAGTATCTATCGATCTAACAGAAACACAAACAGGAAAAGTCTCAGATTGTTCTGAGTTTCCAGAGTGAGCGAGGGAGCAATGTTTAATGCCGCTTTTAGCAATATTCCAGCAACATCACGTCAGAGGACACCAGGTCTGAGTTTCTTCAGCTGTCTATCCCAACAAGACATTAGACCCCCAGTTCACATGTTAGCCTTGTTGCAACACATTGGGAGATCTATTCTGGACCTAATTAACACATGATTAACACACCAACAATTAGTGCACAAGACACAAATGGCAGTTTTATTTATAAATTTATTTTAAAATTTTTCACTTGGATATTCTACTATTTAATTAGAAATATTGTTTCCTAGGATTTGCCCCAAACTGAAAAAACAGGACCAAACTCAAGTTTAATCTTCAGCCTGTTTTCTCTCCGACATCAGCTGGCCTCATCCTACACTTAGTACAGTACTCATTCTTGGCTTCACCAGATGACAAATCATCATAACTCATTAAAAAGATCCTAACAAACTGTCATGAAGAAATACAGAATGGTTTAATCAGTTAATCATGTTCATGATTCCACAGAAATATGGAAAGTAAACAATTTCACCACTATACACATTAGGGTCCATCCCTTCCAACTACATTGTACATAAACATGGAAACAAAATATCTTATGACAGATCTTTCTGTTGATCACCATGATCACAGACGTTAATCTAGTGAAAGAGAAACTGTGAATATCACAATCACAGCTTACTCAATCATTTTTAACAATTTTATAATCTGATTTTGTAAAAAATCAAACTTAATGATCAATAACCTGCATTACATGTCAGTCCAATTCCTTTCATTATTAGAAATACATCAACTTGCAAAACGCCATTATATAATTAAAATAATAAAATAATTAAAACCCTTATTACTATCTTACTATCCTATCCTGCAACTAAATTGAGTTTCGTCTACTGAAAAAAAGTTACATGGTGACAAACAGCAATTGTTCAGCTTGTAGTTTATAAGAGTACTATTCCTCCATTCTGATAAATATTGGACCTATATTCATTAATCCGGGCCAATTTCTGTCAGAGGAAATGAGTTACCGGTAAAGGAACATGTGAGCACACTGTTTAATAAAAGGAGATTTCTACCTGCCTGAGGACACCTTAGAAACAGGGCATTGCTTCATGCAATGCCAATTTCTGTTCCTAAATTATTACCCTACAAGACTGATAAGAGAAATACAAGTAGCCATCTAATTTCCATTTCAAACATGAAAACATCATAATTCACTGCAAATCTCAACCTGATAAAAACAAATAATCATATTTGCTATCAAACTTACATCTGAGAATCCTGAAAACAAAATCACAACATTTTCCTTGAGCCTCATAGGCAACAGGCAGATATAGACAAGACTGAGAGAAGGTGCACATGTCTGGAACAGGAGGAACAGAAGCAAGCCCAGCACCTACAGTGACATGCTGCCAGCAAGTGGCATACCATTACCATTTAAATCAGTCTAGCCTCTAAAACTAGGTTACAGAAAGGCGCTAGGGTTAGCTCGTGGATCTTTCTGATTGCGATATCGCACTGTGATCCATACGCCAAGAATCTGAAAATGAGGCAAAGCAGACTAGTTTGTTAGTATGGATTAGTATCAGGATGCCTTCCTTATTTGTTTATTTATTGTTTAATGCTGCACTCAGCAATATTCCAGCTATATGATGGCAGCCTGTAAATAATCAAGTCTTGATCAGGCAAACCAGTGATCGATACAATGAGCATCATCCTGGGTCACTGATTCTGGACACCCCATACAAAAATATATATATTGAAAAAAGAAAATCGCCTTTTAAGACAAGCATATGTTGCTGGGACTTTGTGCCCTGGAATTTGCAAGGGTAATGTACAAGGCCAGGTTACTTGAATCACTAGTCACATAACCTCATAACAGTGATACATGTCTATGTTACAATATGCGAGATGCTGCACATCTGTGCATTATTCTCTGCGGTAAAGTTCATGTATACATGATGCTCACTCAGTCTGCATCTGTCAAGACATTGGGTACTTACACAGTCTTGCCATACTATTGGGTTAGTGAATTTCTTCATGCGTACTTGCATGCAAGCAACTCTAAGTTAATTGATTTAGTTTCTGTACGTTATGCAAATACACAGCTTATTGTGAACTCTGTTGTCACCATAGGTCAATACAGGGCTGCTCTTGCTTTAGCCGGGAGACCATCTTACATTACAATACTATCACTGGGAGAATAAGTTTGTTAGTATATTTTAGTACCAGCAGGGGTTAAAATATGCAGCGTTAGAAATTGGCAATAGTCCTATAGTTCTTGCCAAACTGCCCAATAGTTAAGGTATCATAAGGTCCAGTACAAATTTGCCATTTTTAAGGGTTTTTGTAATATATTTATCATCATAAGGACTAGTAGACTGAAAGTGTTAGTTTCTACCGCTGAATATGTGTTAGTACAAAGTGGTAGACTTGCTAATGATAACTGTCATAAGGCCATTGTCTAGGAAGTGATAATTTCAATCACATCATCTTGTTTATAGATTTTGGATGTGTCATCTAGTTCCATTAGTGCAGAGAGAACCTACACAACATGATCAGACAATAAGACAATATTATTATGAACTGCTCCTCAGACTAGACATGATGAAGATTTACTTATTGGACTTAGGTATTATGACATTCTTTTCCTCATCTAAAGTCATGATTCATTGATTAACATCTTGTGGAAAGGACTTTATAACCTCTACGGGCATCTCTTTCATAGGGCTCACCCCTCCTTTTTCAAGCATACTAATCTTGAGATACGAATACACCTAAAATGTATAACAAAATCATTTGGAGAAATGCTTTTAACAAGGATTACATATATCTGACTTATGTTTGGCTAACAAATGCAAAATTTAGTGCCAGCAATTCGGTATCTTTCAGTGCACCCACTCTACCACTCTACTCCAAACAGCTGTGCATCCCCCCACCCCTCTTTTCACTGTTGAGATACAAAACAAAGTTTATCTAGCAGGGACCGGAAAGGTGAGTTTGAGACAATGTGGAATTTGACACATCCAAGTTTGACACAATGAGGTTCGACTGTATATGAGATATACTGTATCTTTTCAGACCTACATAATCTCACTGAGATTACTAAATACTGTACAGCATTTGAATTTACCATTAGTCAATTTAATATTTGAAATGTTCATAAATGTCCTTAACATTAAACATGCCAAATTTCAAACGCATAATTTCAGTTCAACATCAAAGGGAGATAACTCAAAGGACATTTCAATCACCACAAAGAGATTCACTGAGGGTCACATTATGTGTGTACTGCTGATTGTTATTTCTAGCTTAGTTTAAGAGAAAATTACACATGGTAATCTTAATCTCTGCATATATACAGTGAATACAACTGGTATTGTAACTCATCATGTCTAATGATGCTTTATTGCAAATTTCCGATTTTCATTACTAAGTTTGTTATCTCTTATTCATGCACCTGAAGGGATACAATGAATTTTGACTGTCCCCCAATATACGAATTAGTAGTTTTTCCGGAAACTTGTACCCAAGAATGGGGTTTGTGCAGTTATCTTCTCGAGGCAAGGGAGTTAACCGACTATAAATGTCCAGGTTCCACCTTTGCTGAACTAGGCTGGAATTCCAGAGTTACAGTTTGGCTGGACTAACAAGTCAATGCATAGTCCAATCAAAATCGCATAACGAACTAGACATCTGGTTCGTAAACAACATGGATTTCAAAGTGCATATTTTGGTTGACTGCAGGATTTGCAAAGTATGTGTTCCATTAACTGGGTGTCGACAGATATTTTTCAAATCTTTTCAAGTTTTTAATCAAGGTGCTCAAGTGATTTGATGACCCTTTATATTACAACATGGATCTTGATTAATGATCAAATCGTCTTGACATTTTGTTTGGAACAAATACAAGCAATATGAAAGGTAGAATCTGATTAGTCAAAAGGAGGGACATAGAACATTTTGTAGAAGGGACTGAACTCATAACAGCCACTGGTGCCGCTATGACTGAGCCACAAAATTCCAGGCTAGTCTGGCATGGGTGGAAACTGCATTTATATATTCAGTTAACACCCTTGCCTTGGGAAGAGGCACCCAGTGCACACTAGACATGCTATACACAAGTACAGAACCAATTAAACAGAGATAATACTGGAGTTTCACACACAGCACTCACTACCAGATCTAAACCTTGACTTGAACTGAGCACCAGACTGTTTAACCAGGCAGAGTTTGGTTTAATGAGAACCCACAACTGAAGGCAGCACCTAACACCATCAACATTGCCCACTCCTTACCTCTGTAAAGCTGAAAAACAATCCCACTCCTCCAGTCATTGTGAAGGCAGAATATATTTCGTTCTGGAGCTTGACAAAACATGAATCACAGGGACAATCATGGCTGGATGAGTTACTCGACTTCCCTGTACAACAGAAGGCATCAGATTGTTCCGGACCGCTACAACACGCGCTCTGTAACAAGACACAAGCTCAGCTCAATGTGAGACATACTACAAGTATTACTATGGTGACATATACTTAAAATACTTGTGGACTTCAAAAATCGCACTGATACTTTTCAAGTGAAAACAATTCAATCTTTGGATTTCTGTTTATTTTATTCTGTTTCATGAGTGTTGCATGAGTATTTCGTGTCAATTCATGTCATTTCATGTCATGTCATTTCATTTCATTTCATTTCATTTCATTTCATTTCACGTCATGTCATGTCATGTCATGTCATGTCATTTCACTTCATTTCAATTCATGTCATTTCATTTCACTTCATTTCAATTCATGTCATTTCATGATTGACTGCAAATAAAGCAAAAATACCATTACTCTAGATTGTAAATACAAATAAACTATACTCAAAAACATTTCTTTGCAAAAGAACATTGATTTTAGGACACATTAGGAAATTTATGGTAATTACAAAATGTTATTTACCAGAAGCAATGTAATTAATTCAAATACATAATATCACAATTATACATCTAAAACTAAAGATATTAGTAAAAATGCTGTTGTATTTACCTAGTTGTTGACCACTTTTATCAACTCATGTGGCTACCTAGCTAGCTGCCATGTGGTTCTGTGCATGCCTTACATGCGTTGATTAAATGCATCTATAAATAGACTAGTGCACAGCGCACCCTATTGGGCTTAAGAAAATGAAAATGGTCTACCTTGATACCCAACTGAAGCATCATAAAATGAAAACATCTTTTAAGTGTATGACCATTACGATACTGACTATGTCCTATTTGCTTTGTGCAAGTTGGTTTGGGTCATTGACCAAAGTGTCTTCTTTCCATTTAATATAATGTCAAACATATAACAAAACAAAACAAAACTTACAGTCTTGCAAAACGGGAAACCTAGAGGGTCAGAGACATTCAGGTCTTTTTCAGGTGGACTTTTATAACCACAACAGTTGAAATTTCTCTGGACATCTTCCCGTGTACTGGCACTGGCCATCATCCAGCCTTGCTTTGCAATGTTCTCCTTCTGCTCTGTGTTCACAGCAAGACAAGCACAGGCTAGGGCAAACTGGATCAAAAACAGCACAAACAGAATGATCATGTACTGGGCACTGTTAAGGTTGTAACTTTCACATGTATCTACAGAGTAAATGCATTCTGTACACTGGTAGAGTGATGTATACATGAGTGAGTGATTATTGTTTAATGCTGCATTAGCAATTTTGCAGTCATTCGTGGTGAGATGTCTGAATGCATGAGCAGCGATCCATCACCTTGGTGACACAGTATTCCAGGTTAAAAACTGTATTGTAACCAGTGTTCGAAATAGCTACCTGCCCACTAGCAGACTTTTAAAATGGGCTAGTAACATTTCCAGAAGTTGTCCCGACAGTATAATTTAAAATTGAAATCAATACATATATATTAATGTCAAAGTCTGCTGAAATTTTATTTTCATTTTGTAGAATATCGGAAGTATTTTAGGCTAGTAAAATAAGATAAGAACTTGCAACATCTTTTGCTAACAAGCTCTCCTGACCAGTGAACTTTGGAAACTAATTTATACACCAAATGTAACCACCCAATCCTCAGTAGTCTCACGACAAGCAAGGGGTCCTCAGGACCTGTACCCACAATGACAATATTAACGTTACCCAGAGGCTGACAGTATGAGCACTGATTCACACTAAATCAACCATCACACAATTGGTCCTCCCTTGACAGTTTCCCTGTACCTTACATTCTTCACAGCTAATACCTTCTTATCACAGCAGTCTGTAAATAATGAAGTCTGGTAAAGTGAAAGTCATCGAGTCTGACCATTTAATCCCCTTTAGTCATGTTAGTGAGTGAGTGATTGATTTAGTTTAATGATGCTTTGAACAATATTCCAGTTACTTCACGGTGTGTCAGCTTCATGTGGGAAGAAAGCCTCAAGTGATGCAGAATTTGAACATTTACCATGTTTACCACTTTGGTGAAACCCATCAGCATGAGACAAACCTAGAAACCAAATAGAGGAGAACCAGGATTCGAACCCTCGATAAAAGATTTCTGGTACGCTCAAGGACTCTTTGCCAGTGAATTCTTACAGACAGTTCTTTCAATACAGACTGAAAACTGGGGACACATTCTAATGCATCCATCAGTCGCAAAGGATACAAAAAACAGCATAACTTGGTGATGTTTGACTGCTCCGATGAGACCAATCAGCGATATGAAGAACAGCACGACTCCGCATGTTATCAAGCTACCCACCAAAGTGAGACTTGTAACTATGGCAACCACACGCCCATAGGCTGCTACACCAATCAGTATGAAGGAGATAAGCTGAAAATAAAGAAGCAAATATTAAGCATTATAATTCTCAAGTAAGTACTACCCACATCACCAATGATGACACAGTACTTGACTGATAGTTTGAAACGAGCAAATTCCAGGAGAAGACTTGTTACCATGGTTACATGTCCTTGACTGCTTTTACCATTCGGCATGTCAGGTAGACATGGTAGATGGCAAGTCTGTGGCAGATCATTTTTAGGACAAATAAAAACAAAAATGAATGTCTAACCCTGAAGAAAACGGTGATTTCAAATGAATTTCTTTCAAGTTGAACAGGCAATCAATAGTCAAATATGATCAGTAGAGAGAAAGCAAGATCTACAAAATAACCGAAGTTTCTCTTCCACTAAAAAGTTAAAAATCTATTTGGTCTCTATGAAAAAGCCAACTTTCTGTTTAAAACTTCCAACATGCTGAAAGTGAGTTCTTTCATGCGATAAAGTTTGGTAAGAATATACATGTACTTGAAATAGGTTTGTGTTTTGATGTTAATGAGTGTTGGGTCATTTCGCCCTATCTGTTTTTCTCATGCGTCTTGACACACATTTCTGCACCAAGTGATGTTTCTCGTTGGTTACATTTAAAGGTTGTTTGATCATGTTTATATTATTCACTTGACATAGTTCTTTCCAAAGATGTTAAAGAATGTCACTATCTCTAAGGCTAGATTAGTTGCCTATAAAAGCAGAGGTTGCTTGGGACCAATTCTTATCCTGATCATCTATCATATATCAGTTATTATGACAATGCATCTGATAACGCATGTTAAAATGTACATCCTTTAATTTTGTCAGTCTAGTAGAAAGGTTACAACTTCCTGCTGTACTTATGTCTAAACCATTGTTAACAATTCACATGGTGAGCCTCTCCATAACTCTCACACCATTTGTTTGAAATTATGATTGCTCGACAGTAGCTAATTGATATTTGTAAACATAGCTTACTCATAGCTACATCTGTTGCTTGTAAAGTATTTTACAGGATATTGTGTCAAGATTGATGTCAAATACATTCAAGCATCAGGGAAATTTAGGTTAACTTCTTTGATAAGCATTTAGAAGTTGGAGTACTAAGTAAGGATAAAAATTTATGCATGAACAACTTCTTTATTACAATTAAGAGCGACATTTCGGTGTAGGTTCTAACACCGTTATCAAGCAAGTACACCAAAACGTCGCTCTTAATTGTAATAAAGAAGTTGTTCATCAATAAATTCTTATCCTTACGAAATTTAGGTTATTGGAACAGTAGTGTTTGAGTTATGTTTGGCTGTTGGGAGTATTAGACCTACAGCTGTATATGCTAGAAGACTCTCTCACTTGTTGAGTTATTATTTCCTGACCATGCTGACACTGACAGTTATTCCACCACAAGGAGTAAATCAAAGAAAGGAGTTGAAAGAATATACATGTTAAACACATTTATCATTTTTTCTTATGAGATTTTCTTAAACTGATTATGCCGACTGGATAGGGAGGGAGGATGTTATGGTTATGATTGATTTCTTCAGCATGTTCAGTAGCTTACGAATCTATTGAAAAAGATATTCTAATGTACCACCTCATACCTGCCCCTGTGGTTCAAAATATAAACAACTAAGTTTGACATTATTTAAATAGGGTTTGGTTTAATAAACATAACATAATGTATTTTCAGCATGCTCAGTAAGACAATAACTCACAACAATGACGTTTATCTGATTCATACCTATATTGCACAAATAATTCAAAATGCATATGAAAGAGCATATCTCTTTCAGAGAATTATTTTATCTTCATGATCTAAGAACTTCCATCATGTCCATTACTATTTTCACAGGTGAGCGTTCCTTATCTGACATTATTTTTAGAACTCTTCTATGTTACAAGTACACACCTAGCTTAATGTTCTTTCTTAAATTCTGAAAAAAACAACTGCAATGTTTGCCTACATGGCCTGGTTTGTTGTATTCTTTGAAGAAGATAAAGATTTACTTTAAAATCAGTTAATTTACATTTTCATAACTTAAAAAACATGTTTGCTACGGTCATGAACAACAACTGTGACCAGCATATTGGTTGGACAGGAAATTGTACTGTTTGAGTTAGACACAATAGGGGGAAGATACTGTTGTTTTCATCTACAAACTACCATAACTACAGGGTCACACCTGAAGATAGCTGTGGTAAAAGTTAACTAAAAGGTTCATTGTAATTTGTATTACGTTTGTAGTAAAGAGTGTTTAATAAAGTGCAGCTTTACAGTTAAGAGGTCTGTCAGAGTTCATATTTATGATACAGTTGGATAACAAGTAGATCTACTGCACTACCTCATATCGTGATCATGATTATCAATTCAGTGAAATTATCAATTTGACATAGATCTTTGTATCTTATGGTATTTTCTATTTCTATGGATGCTTGTAAGAGATAGTTGAAGATTACATTCAATGTCAAGGCAATTAGGCCACTGTGATTAAAAGATTTATAATTTTCATCATGTTCGTGAAATATCTATTATTATTAAACAATATGTGTTAGCCAAGAAGCCGGTTAGTCATCAGCAAAATAACAGGGAAGATTTATCAACCTATTACACGTGTATGTGATGATAATAATTCATTTTTTTAGTCGAGTGTTGTTAAAATGTACTCCACTCAAGCAGCCACGTCACACCGAATCCCCCCGCTGGTGACTCCGGTGCCAGAATATTAATCATCAGTTACAAACGATCACATGTCGTATGCTTGTTAAATGGCGAAACAGCAACGTGAACATTGCATACATCCACACCGCAGATGTCTCGTAACCACCAAATTTAAAACAATGAGATTTGAATACTTACTATATAAAGCACATTTAATGCAGCTAGCGCATTTTTCGAGCATGTAAATCCGCCACACACCATATTTTCAGTCTTACTGCGAAATTTATGCACGCGTACACACGATTGATCGAAGTTCTCGCTCACAACATTAACGACAGCAGCAGAGCAGAGCTAGGGTTAGTTACGTAGATTGGCATGCGAGTTCATCTACGAAGACACATTATCAGTTCCACTATATTTAAAAATGGTATATTAGCCTTGTTACTTACTTATTAATTAATTATTTCAATAAGTATATTTAATTATTACTAAATCAGCTCAGTTTCGTATCTTCCTTAAAAGACGGAAAACACCGGAGCAGTACTGAATAAATCGAAATGCCCAAATTGCCGTGTTGTTCGAGGCGTCGTAATCGGTCCAACAATATGGACCAACAATTTCGGTGGTGTATTGTGTGCAGATTTATTTTTATAGTATGTCTTCATATGTTGTTGTTTTTATTGTATTTGTTGTTGAATGTTCACTGGACATCCTGAAAGAAATGTTAAAGTAAATATATATTTTGTCGTTTTTTTCTTATATATACTCGTAGTATCACTGAGGTTTCTTACCTGACGACCGAACTGAGTGGAAGGCAATAGCTTGCCTACAGGTAAAGTAAGCTGTCTTTAAAAAGAATGTATTCTTATATTATTATTTGATCCAATTACCACCACACCATCATGGATGGCGAATGAACGTAATGGCGGCGTTTGTCTCGTTTATTACAGATGCTTTCAGACGCCCGGTCCTGGTGTGGAGAAATGGGCATGGCGACGTCACGATGCTATGTTGGCGAATGAGTCCTGGGGATTAGGCAGTGATCGAAATGGCTACCTGCCCTCAAAACAAATAAAGCGATTTTTTTTTTTTCGCAAATTCGATTGTAGAATTCCGACTATATCATGAGCATGTGATTATGAATCACTATCAAATAATAAATGATACCAGGTGTTCGCGAAAAGGTGAGCGTATCCTGCCCCACCGGTGGCATCCGTCACAAACACACGCAAAGGCAAGTCAACTGTTCACCTGAAAAAAACCACATGGGACATATGGTACAAGACAAAATAGGGAATTGCATCGGGCATCATTGCCAGTGACTTCTAAATGGGGCAAGTAACACAGTCCATAAAGCTGGCTCGACTGTTTAGTTGAAAACTGTAGTCAGTAATTGTCTTTACTACCCTTTTGTGTACATAAAAAGGCTTATCCAATCCAGTATAGCTACATCTGATATCTACTCTACTGCATAAACATTGCCTCCTACCTGTATATATACTTGTCAACCGTACTCTGTACATCACTTGCTTGATAACGGTTTAAGAACCTACACCGAAACGACGCTCTTAATTGTAATAAAAAAAGTTGTTCATCCATAAATCCTATTCCTTATGTAATCAGTACATATGTATATCTACGAATAATTTAATCAGTTAAGATCGCATTTAATGTCAATGTCTGTTGTCATTTTGTTTTCGTTTCGAAGTTTATCGAAAGTGTTTAGGGCTAGTAAAATATGACGACGGCTTGCAAGATTTGTTTCAGTGGTCTCTGATTTTTGTGTTAACAAGCCCTCCCGGCCAGTGAACTTTGGAAACTGACTCATTTATAGAGAGATTTGTCACGATTTCTCTCGCTATAACGAGTCATATATAGCTGGCTATAAGGAGTCATAGCTGGAGTATTATGCTTAAACGGTGTTGCCAAATATCACATTTTCACAATGCAGTGGTTGATGGTTGATGAAATTTCTAATTTCTAGGGATACGAATTCGTTTGGGTTACGAATTTACATAAACCTGGTATTTGCTACTAAAGGTGTAAAATACGATTTGAAGTGGGAAGGGGGATGGGAGGTGTCGAGATATTGTTCAGGATCACTGCTTCGAAACACGCATTTTTGTCTCTGACGTTGAGGTGCCGAACAGTTAAAAACATTGTTCCCTGGACATGTTTGATGCCCTGAAACGATGTGCTGAGACACAAAGGAAAATAATTCCAAACAGTTTTAGTTTTGTCAGGATACTCGATGGGTGAAAGATGGTACTTGGCAAGAACAACAACATATCCTCTATATATCAGTAGCAAACCAGTGACTGAAAACACGAGCAACATCCCACGTCACAGTGGTGCGTTTTAACCTGACCCGCCAATCCTCCCAATCAACCAGACGACAGAACCTGACCACCAAATCAACCAGACGACAGAAACTGACCATCCAATCCTCCCAATCAAACAGGCGACAGAACCTGACAACCCAATCCTCCCAATGAACCAGATTGAACCTGGCCACCCAATGAACCAGGCGACCGAACCTGACCACCCCAATGAACCAGGCGACAGAAACCGACCACCCGATCCTCCCAATGAACCAGGCGACAGAACCTGACCACCCGATCCTCCCAATGAACTAGGCGACAGAACCTGACCACCCGATCCTCCCAATGAACCGGTCGACAGAAACTGACCACCCAATCCTCCCAATGAAGCAGATTGAACCTGGCCACCCAATGAACCAGGCGACAGAACCTGACCACCCGACCCCCCCAATGAACCAGGCGACAGAAACTGACCACCCGATCCTCCCAATGAACTAGGCGACAGAACCTGACCACCCGATCCTCCCAATGAACCGGACGACAGAAACTGACCACCCAATCCTCCCAATCAACCAGGCGACTGAACCTGACCATCCGATTCTCCCAATGAACCAGGCGACAGAAACTGACCTCCCAATTCTCCCAATGAACCAGATTAAACCTGGCCGTGCAATGAACCAGGCGACAGAATCTGACTACCCAATCCAATCCTCCCAATCAGCCAGGCGACAGAACCTGACTACCCAATCAACCAGGCGACAGAACCTGACTACCCAATCCGATCCTCCCAATCAGCCAGGCGACAGAACCTGACCACTCAATCCAATCCTCCCAATCAGCCAGGCGACAGAACCTGACTACCCAATCCCACCAGGCGACAGAACCTGACCACCCAATCCCACCAGACGACAGAACCTGACCACCCAATCCCACCAGGCGACAGAACCTGACCACCCAATCCCACCAGACGACAGAACCTGACCACCCAATCCCACCAGGCGACAGAACCTGACCACCCAATCCCACCAGGCGACAGAACCTGACCACCCAATCCCACCAGGCGACAGAAACTGACTACCCAATGCAATCCCCCCAATCAGCCAGGCGACAGAAACTGACTACCCAATCCCACCAGGCGACAGAACCTGACCACCCAATCCCACCAGACGACAGAACCTGACCACCCAATCCCACCAGGCGACAGAACCTGACCACCCAATCCCACCAGACGACAGAACCTGGCTACCAAATCCATTCCCCCCAATCCACCAGACGACAGAACCTGACTACCCAATCCAATCCCCCCCAATCAACCAGGCGACAGAACCTGACATCCAAATCCCACCAGATGACAGAACCTGACCACCCAATCAACCAGGCGACAGAACCTGACCACTCAATTCAATCCCCCCAATCAGCCAGGCGACTGAACCTGACTACCCAATCCCACCAGGCGACAGAACCTGACCACCCAATCCCACCAGACGACAGAACCTGGCTCCCCAATCCATTCCCCCCAATCAACCAGGCGACAGAACCTGACTACCCAATCCAATCCCCCCAATCAACCAGGCGACATAACCTGAATACCCAATCCCACCAGACGACAGAACCTGACCACCCAATCAACCAGGCGACAGAACCTGACCTCCCAATCAACCAGGCGACAGAACCTGACCTCCCAATCAACCAGGCGACAGAACCTGACCACCCAATCCCACTAGGCGACAGAACCTGGCTACCCAATCCAATCCTCCCAATCAGCCAGGCGACAGAACCTGACCTCCCAATCCCACCAGGCGACAGAACCGGACCACCCAATCAACCAGGCGACAGAACCGGACCACCCAATCAACCAGGCGACAGAGCCTGACCACCCAATCAACCAGGCGACAGAACCGGACCACCCAATCAACCAGGCGACAGAACCTGACCACCCAATCCTCCCAATCAACCAGGCGACAGAACCTGACCACCCAATCCTCCCGATCAGCCAGGCGACAGTAGTCTGCGCGTATACAACAAGCATGAACGTCTGGGCCCCTGAGTATCGGAGCTGAGATGTCTTGGCGCTGATACGGTTTTGGCCAGTGTAGACGTGAAAGTGAAAAAGTGATGTGGACATCTTTTTCTTTATGTGTAAATGGACATAAGTTACACCTCTTAAGTGAAAGACAAATGCGCCATCATGTAAGTGAACACATAATTGTAAATGATGTCGCTTTGTGCAGTTTATCTTCCTCAAATATAACTAGATCTTGATCGTTGCAAGTAGAAGCAATGTATTCTGACATATTTGAAATCTGTTTACAACATTTTGTTGTATGTGCTACAAACGGTATAAGGATCTATACCGAACCATCGCCATTGCAGTAAATTAAAGAAGTTGTTATCCATAAATTGTGTCTTATATACGTCTTATATACGCCTATCAAACAATTCCGTGTCTGGGATAGGTTCTGGGATAGTCAAAGCAGCATAATGTTGAACTTGGCGTCACATTAAAATCATTCAAATATACCAGCAAGAGTCTGAGATAGACAGATACACTGGTGTCTCTTTGGTGGTATGGACTGGTTACTGTAATCCGAAGAAATAGTAAGACTGGTTTCAGCCGCCGGAAGTGGTAAGCAAGGAAGCAGCCTGAGCTTTGGCGGTCCATACGAAAAGCGTTATTGTAAGTAAACAATAGATTAAATAGCTTATTCACGTGTAAAATAAAAAATGAATTAATTTAAATGAAACAAGACTACTTCAAATATCTACGAAACATCATCGGTGTTGTTTTAAACAGCTAAACAGATTTACAAGCATGTTCTTGATAAGTTGAACTTGACGTCTGCATGATTAGGCTAATCATTGGAACAAAGAGGTGATCATAAATTGATCAACATGATCAAAACGGACCCAGTGTGACTTTGTAGATACTAACCCGAAGACTATACCATGCTATTGGTGTGACATCTCAACCATTTTTTTTAGCCCCAATATACTGATAAACATTATCGGACATTGTTTATCGACATTGTGAAGCTTTAAAATACAAAAATTATCGGATCTCTCTTATCTTAAAATTGTGTGTCTGTGTGTATCTCCCTAATGTTGTCTGTATTTCTCTTATTTAATTGTTCTTCTCTGCCTCTGTCTGTCTTATGTAGAATTTTTCTCCTCTGTAGAACGTCTCTTCAGCATATTTGGACACAGTTTATGTATTTTTTTTCTCCACACCATGCATTTGTGCATACTGGATGCACCTTTCTGGTTCGTGTATAAGTATTGAAATCCTGATACCTGTACCGTCATGATGCCGTGATAGTACTGATACTTGGCAGAATAATTGCAGCCTTGTACAGTATCCAGAAACCTATTTGATATGTATTGATATATTGACTTTCCAATGACGAACCTAACTGTGGTAACAGGTTTATATGAGTTGTTTTTTTGTATATGACAAAACAACTCCTAAGCATGCATCATAAATCTGATCAAGTTTAGTGTCACTCAGAGATTGATCAAGACCCACACCAAGGCCTATATTCAACCTGCAGCGAATGTCAGTACAAATTCCCGAACTGGAATCAATAATTTCCCAAGTCATATGTTGTTACAGTTAATATGTTATATCACAAACATTATGGCTTTGTAGACATGGGTAGAGGTGTCTTGTATTTCACTTATAACAGGACCACTTAACAGTCTCATTGCTCAGTTCAATTTATTCCACTGAAATTTAAAAACAATTGAAAGCAATGTATAAAGACAATGTTAATATACCTCTAAATTCCAGAAACTAAGAACTTAAGTAAAATCCCAATTTTGAACAAAATAAGAAATTTTATCTTATCCTGACTTATTGCTTATCTCTCTCTCTCTTCCGAAAAGTAGTGGAAATGTCCTGTTCTGTGTTCCCAGAGAACAGGGAAAAACATTTCACCCCAACGCACCCTGTGTCCGAGCAGGTGAACCGTAACCACTTGACCAAGACCAGTAACTTGTCACTCTCTTTTTCATGCCATCTGTGTATTTGTGAAAAAAATGTCGGTTCTCATAATCCAAGCTATCTGTTCAATACATTTTTGTCCCAAAGGGGCCGTATTTTCGAAACCTAGATAACTGTCATCCGCTTTACCAGAGATAATTTGACAATGCTGTTTTCTTGTTAACAAAAATCACATCATGATCACAGCGTTAGAAATTGGCACTTGTCGTGTAGTTCTGGCCAAACTGCCCAATAGTTAAGGCATCACAAGGACTAGTAGAAATTTGCCCTTTTGAAGGGTTTTGCTATATGTTATGATTGTTATCTGAGTATAAGGACTAGTGGACTAAAACTGTTAGTTTCTACCGCTGGATCATTTGCATCATATTTGCCAGATCATTCTTTCTACAAGTTTGGCAAGAGATTGAAATATGATGGTGCAAATCTGATGAATACGGAGGATGTTTAATGAGTTTAAAGCCAGTCATGCACTCTAGCCATTGTAATAACAGACTTGTGCACATTGTCCTGGTGGAATAACACACCTTTAATGATTTTTGTATGATCTTTAGCCTTGATATTGTCACACTGTTGCCTGAGCAGATAAGCATAATATTGACAGACAGACAGGCAGACATTATAATAATGGCCATTCATGGTCTGCCCTGTCGACCAGGATTGCTGTGGAATCCAAGAAAACCAAAGCCATCACCTTGCCAGCTGATGAAACAGACTTGTCCTTTTATGGAGGAGGAGACATTAGATGTTTCCACTGATTTGACTATTTGGTATAGTTTCTAGCTGATAGTGGTGAATCCAAGATTCATCAATGGGTTAAAAACATTAGCTGGGTCTGCTTCATAACGATGTAAATTCTCCCTAGAAAAGATGAATGTGGAGCGTTTCTGATCAGGAGCCAAAAGCCTTTGAACCCAGCATGCTAAAACCTTAGTCATTCCTCATTCATCAGAATGTTCCCAACTCTGTCATGAGATATCCTCCTGTTTTGGCGATGTGATATGATGAGTGATCGATCATTTATAATCATGTTATGTATTTTATGAACATTTTCAACAGTGGTGGTGGTTAAAGGGACTCCTGATCTTGGATCATACTCAAGGCTCTCTGTTCCTCTCTTGACCCCACTGTCCACCTCTTAACAGTGGCAGAGGAAGGAGCATCTACCCCAAAGTTGACAACATGTCTGCATGGATAGCTTTTGGAGTTAGCCCATTCAGTTGGAGATGCTTTATAACAGAGCTGTGGCCAATTTTATTAATTTTTATTAATAGAGAATTCCTAGTCACATTGTGGCCTGCCGAAATTAGCTGTCTGGTTGTGTATTTAGTTCAAACACAGCCTGTAATCATGGAAAGTTTTGTACTTAATACATGCAAACTGTTATGGGTGTACTATACATGTTTTTTTTTTAGGCTCAGAACTTTTCAGCAACGCCTTGTTTTTGATCTTGTTATGTGTATTTGTATGCAATTCAAAAGTATTTGGGTTATGGTGCTTTATTTTGCATATAGTTTATACATATATGCAGCTTGTCTGGAGCCCTGATAAACTGTATCATGATAAGAGTCACAATCAGTGCTTGATGTGTTTTTAAGCACCATCTTCTTCTTTGAACCATGAATACATACGTCTGAAATGCAGTGTAGTTGGACGCATGGCCGCCTTAACATGTTTAAGTCAAAAGTGAGGTTGTGATAACTCAATAAGGTCTAAAGAGCCTACTCCTTGTGAAAGTCCTACCATTGCCTGATATTGAAACAATATCCTATCAAAAGAAGTTCATGGTGATTGTGAGCCAGACCTTTAATTCACATCAGAAAACACCTAATATCGGTGTCTTATGGAAAACAAATGTCAAATGTCTATCACTTATGTTGACCAATATGGTCATTCTAGTCCTTCCTATTATTTTGGGGCAGTAGTTGTCCAAATGTGCCTCTGAACAAAGATTCTTAATGCACATTTGTACTACTAGCGTTAGGCTCTTCAGAAACATTTGAGTAAATCGTCATTTGTTGATTGAACTAACTATATTCATGCTGTTCACATAAGCATGATAAGCCACATGTCATACAACCCCTGGAAAGTAGTTATGATGTTACTTTAATGGATAATTTTCAAGTTAACTTTCATTGGAAACAGACAAATTAGCAAACTGCCAAACTTTTAGTTTTTACCTAGGACTTATAATTTAATGACTTTGAATTAGTTCACAGAACTCCCAGAAAATTAAATTCCTGTTTTTGTTAGCTACACTGAAGACTACAACTAGTACTGGTATAAGGCTGAAAGAAATTTTGTTTATAGATCCGCCTACTTTTAAAATATATGAATACACAAAGCCTTTTAGAAAGTGGTCAAATAAAAAAAATGTTATATTTGTGATAACACTTTCTCAGTAAAGTACAAATTCTAGTACTTTTTTTGGGTAGAGTCCAATCAGGGATTCAAACCCACACTCTCAGAGTGAGGCACACACTCTCATCGCCAGCACATAAGAATGGGACTCAAACGAAAAAAAGTAGAAGAATTTGTACTTTCCTAAGAAAGTGTTTTCCAAATATAACATTTGTAACCTTAAAATGTAGTGGCAAAAAAAGAAAAAGAGTAATTATTGTACTTTGCTGAACGCAAACTTACATGTTCACCATTATAAAAATATGTGCTCACATCATGGAAGAGCTGCGAGACGGGCTTCAGGAAACCTCTTCTTTTATGTTTTTTGACACTTACTGACTATTCTTTTTCACTTGATAATCCATATAAACCAAAAACTGAAAGGAATTAGGCCCAGGCAAGGTTAATAATGTTAAAATATAAACATTTTAAGCATGTTTTGACTGAAAAAGGTGAAATATGAAGGCAGAGAGTTG